GGGTATACCTGACTCTGTCTGGCCGCGGCGCAGTGACTTTTGTTTTTTTGCAATATTTTTTTTAATATCCTCCACCCTAATGATATCCTGAAAATAGTTATCATCTATAGCATTGGACAGATTAATTCTAACTGAATTTATAAGCTCCTTATCGTTATGATCAGCTTGGATTGTTACTATCATTATATTACCAACAATATCATTATGATCAATTTGCGACTGACTTTCTCTAATGAACGTAAAATTTTAACAACGGAGATGAAATGCCTTAGAAGAGCTGCATGAGTTTCAAGGAAAGACAGAATATGAAATGACGAAATCAGACAAATGAAGTGGTTTGAACATCTGACAAGAATGCCCTCGTACTATCTACCACAGCGAGCCACACTAAAACGTTACAACTGGTATAGAGCGAGTGGAAGACCTCGGAAAATATGGAGTGATGGCATAGAGAACATTTTTACAGAAATGAAAATCAATCATAATGCTGCTCTTGACAGAGCTCATCAATGAACGTTACTTCCCCCCCCCCCCCCCCCCATCTTTTTTTCCCGACACTTCGCTGAGGTACAACCTAGAAGAAAAGAAGAAGAAGAGAACGCTTTTTGCTGCTAGCATCGTTGGTTTCATTCTTATTATATAGCCAAATCATTTCATTTTTTGTTTCTCAATTTGACGATGGGCGTTGTTTAACAGTTATTGTGATCACGTTATTTCTCACTTGATCTCTTCTGGTTTTATTCACAGCCATTCTCAGACATCTCTCACAGGTGGTTAGTTTTCTTTCGTGTTGGTCTGTGATGTTTACCATCAGCTTGTATCTTCACCCAAAAGTCATTTATATGAGGGGTTGCCAACAACTGCCAGGACCAGAGGGTGGCATAAAGTATAACGTCTAATTAGATTGTTAACACGGACCCATCTTTTGTGAGATACCATTGAATATTATGAAAATTGTATTTTTTCATTGTATAGACATTCATAGTTCTGTTAATTCTCGTGACTGTTGAGTCATGATCTTAATGATAGAATTGACAAGACTACAAAGCTGCACTGCCAGATGTTGGAGGCCACACTTCATGGGAACATGACATCCATCCTGGACAGATAAGTGGTGATTGCTAGCAAATGCCGTCAACACTAACACTTAGTGCCAGTTACCTAGGTCCAAAACTTCACAGTCTGGCAGTGATGACACTTTCTGCTGCTAGGGACAAACCAGGAGTTCACCTGGAGTAGAATATTATTTGCTTCCTTAGTTGGTTAATTTGTCTTGCTGAATTCATTTTGTTATATTCTTACATGTTTTGCACCGATTACATGATGTTTTGTTATTTGACATTCTGTGGTAAGTGTCCATCAATTACAGTTCCTAAACTGTCTGGACTATCTGTTGTATTGTTGTACTTCATATTATACTGTGTTAATTTGACTAGCATAGTAATACTATCTCGTCTAGGGGTTTAAAAGTAGTGGGGAAGTCAGGCCAAGTTGCGCCTAGGAATGTTTATAAATTCTGTAGTGCCATAATTTAAGTCGCCCCACCCCTGAAATAAGTTGGATGTTCTTTGGAGCTGCGGAATACCGCCTAGATCATTGTGAGCCAACATCTCAACACTAAAGCTACTTCAGAGTGTCTTTTGGTTCATTAGGGAAACCCTAACAAAGTCACGTGACATCAGCATAATGTGACACCATTGAAAAACACACATTGTTCATAGTAGGTAGTAGATAGCTGAACGGATGAAAAGAAAAGACTCGAAGAAATAAAACCAACGTTTTCATCAGAGCCTTTATCAGAACATAAACCAGCAGAACAAATTTATGCGGTACAATAATTTTAGACGATTCCAAACAAGAAAAATACACGAAACATTGGTCCAGTCGAATATTATATGGGTGTTGCATGTTTCCCTGTAGTCGGTTTAGCATTATCATTCTGGGTGTGTCTTTTATCTTATTTTGTGTCTGACGTCATGATCTCGCTGCTTTTGCTTGACCCATGCTGGTGGATTGGACTGGGTTTTCCTGGAATTACCGTCTTTGGGTTCGTACAAAGTTATTGCACTCAAACTTATTACATACAGTGGTAAATAAACACATAGCTAAGTAATCGATATCATCATCACGTAGTCGATATGAAAATCAAAATGGAGGACTAAAATACGAGTGACTACTGACATCCAAAACAACTGTAATTATAAAAACAACCGCAAAAACAGATACTTATTTTATTTAATATAAATTGAAACTAGGGACAAAAATACACAAATAAACATGACAACAATGTTAACTCAAGTTGTAGCTACTTAAACAGACAGACATAGATAATTAACCTGAATACAAAAAAAAAAATGGTAACAATCGCACTTTATAGCCTATACATAAACTTTACCAAATTAATTTACCATGTTTCGAATGTAAAAAACAATAACACGAAATGACGTTACAACGACGACAAATGGCTGGCAGCACAAAGGGGGAGCCTTCATAAAACGTTAGTTCAGACAAATGTAGTCTGTAATTGATTTAAAGAAACATATAACGTTTTAGGCCGCAAACAAACACTTTATGTGGTCGCGCGATATTTGTTGGCCCTTCATTCATGTTTCCTGACCTTTTCCACGCGCTGGTCTATGGCACAGGGGTGTCACTTTTTTGTGTCTTCGATGCTCCGAACCTTATGTATTGAACGTCGTGAGCGGCCAGCAACACGTTGTCTTTTACTCGTTGTTGTCAACAGCCGGCGATATTGAGTATTTTATATTCCACCATGTGAGCAGTTTTAACCTTCCAAAAACATCTAGAACTCGCCCAAACCCCAACCCTCTACCCCACAACCTCAGCCTACGTTCCAAGAGAGAGTGCAGCCTGCGTCCCACGATTACGTGCAGTCTAGGTCCCACGACTGTATGCTGCCTAGGTACCACGACTGCATGCAGCGTATAATTTACCCTGAGTTAATCCGGAAACTGGCCTGCGACCCGACATAGTCCTACACTCTGCGGAGAAACGTCAGCTCATCCTGATCGAGCAGACCGTGCCGTATGAGTCGCGAATAGACGAAAGCCACATGTACAAGCTCGAGAAGTACAGTGATTTAGCGGCTGGTCTGAGGAGAGACGAAGCGTACACAGTAAGAATCTTCGCCGTCGAGGTAGGCTCAAGAGGTCTCGTTTCCACTTCATTGTACAATGTGATCAAACAACTAGGCTTACAAAAGAGCACTAAAACAACTGGGCGAGGTTGCTAAGAGGGCCTCGAGTAGGCTCTGGACACAACGAAGCCTCGTGGGGGACTGGCCTCGGTGAGCTGGTAGGGGTGTCTAGTGGAAAAGAATGTCTTATCCCTTAAAGTCCATCGTGTCCGAATTGTCTGCCAGTGTCCCTCTGCCATCTGCCAGTAAAGTCTAACATGTGTCGGATAAACCAGCCGTAAGCTTGCCACTTGGTCGTCCAGGTATGCTGGCTGCTCTAATTATGCTACCGCAGCGACCATGTAAATACAGTATCTCACAGTACCTTTTGCAAAGTCACCAATTTCGTCGTATCCCTGTCCGAGAAAATCCGGTAATACGGGCAGCAGGAGAAAATCAACCCTGAGCTTCATTAACTCAGTTGGGCCCACTCTCTGTAAAATGTCTAGGAGCTCGTGGGCCGAAACATTTGTCGACGAGAGATTATTTCTACTGATGATTGTTGAGTGGAGTTTCTTCTTATTATACGCATTGTCGCCTGCCGCTAACAACAAATAATAAAAGAAAGCGACGCGTAAAGTTGAAGACTGAAATGTATCGAAGACAACACAACGACACCCCTGTAACATAGACCAGCGAGTTGGAAAAGTCACGAAACATGAAGGAAGTGTCTGCTTGCGGACACAAACGTTACTTTAACAGAATTAAACTGTGTACAATTTATTTCATTGGTATTTATACATACGTATATATATATATATATATATATATATATATATATATATATATATATATATTTCCCCCACTCCCCTACTATTCTTTCTCTCCTCACCTCTTCTCCTTTATCTATTCTTTCAATTTTCACTCTCACTCTTTCTCTCTTTCATCTTTATCTCTATCCAATTTTGTGGATAAATCAACCTCTGACACACCCTCTCCGCCTGACCTCCAACCCTAATCAACTGAACCTCCACGTCAAATTCACAATTCATTAAATTGTCAGAATGAATTAATAATGTATTTAATTTTGTTTGAAAATAAATGGATGTTTTTACCTTAAAAGTCTTACTGCTAAATAACAACTAGCACACCATGTCAGATTATGTTTTCACATGTTTGTGTATTTCTGGTATCCTTTTTCAACCGGTGCCTCACAATTCATACAGCTTAGCCGAGCTGGACTCACCAAATCTAAATCCGGCCCTGTGAATGGGATGTAGTTATGCGTTTAACCGGACTAGACTGAGGTCACTTGTGTGTTACTATAAAGTGATGTCATCAATGAATGCGCTATGCTTGGCTACTGCCGGTATATATTTAAAAATTTGTGTGTGATCTTATAGTTAATTTGTCCAAGCGGACGATCTCAAATCTGTATATGTCTTTAGCAGCACAGAACCTGATATGTTTTAAATCAGCCCTGCTAATACAATGTAATTTGGCTGAGTCTAACACTGCTTTACACACAACACGTACATAACTTCATTCTGTGGTTTCGCGAATGTATGACATTTTCTTGACTTCCTCAGAGATGTGCTCAAACGTTTTTCATAGCACTAACGCTACTTAAATGTACGTGCGCTCTATGGTGAGTTTCGTAAACACAAGTAGGATACATGGCCGCTGGAGACAGTGTGGTGGTAGATAAATGTTCACTATCAAAGATCGTCTCAGCGTCTAGCCAGGGCGGGGATTTCGTATCGATTTTATATCCCTCTGCCTTAGCACTTAAATCTTCACTGATTTCCCCGTTGTCTTCAGCATCCTCGTCGATACCCCCTTCTGTCTCTTTGGCAGGTTCTAGTCATAATGCAGGCGGAGGCGGAAGCTCTATCATGTTGCTGTACCGGAGAGCTGGCACCAGATAGTCGGAGTATCTGCCGTCTAGGACATCGCGGCCTTGATGTCCAATCTTCCAGCAGAACCGGGTTGCGTTCATGGCCATATTTCTCCTCAGTGTGAACAGAGCCACGGTTCGGCGGTTTGGGTTTCCGTGAATGAGCAGCGTAGCCTTCGTTCTTTTGTTGCTGAAGAAGAATTTCTCCTGGGTGATGTTTTTGAACAGGAACTGACCTGAAAATACAAACATTTTGATGACAATGCTTGTCATTTTGTGTCAAGTCAGAAACCCTAGCTGAATCTATTGGGTACGCAATACAGTGTTGTTTTAACCTCAGAAGGGTCGGCGTGTCTCTTTCATTCCCATATTGTTCGTGTTTGCGTGTGTGTGTGTGTGTGTGCGTGTGTTTTTGCGTGCGTGTGTGTGTGTGTGTGTGCGTGTGTGTGTATGTGTGTGTGAAGTCATTATCAGTTACTGACTCTATTGATTACTAAACACAGTGACGTATTAACCTTAATAGAGTCAGGTTATCTCTTTGATTCCTTTATTTTCTTGTCCCTCCTGTTGGCGGCTCCCCGAACAGTGGTCCAACCTGAGATTACGTCGTGGATGCAAGCGAACTGGACAAACTATCAGACACCTTATTCAGCCTCGATAATTGGAAATTATACTTGGGGCACCGGTAACGGCCCCACAAGCCTGGTGCAGCCTGTAGTATTGCGCTGAAACAGATTATTAGTGTTGCCAGATAAAAGCTCCCCCCACCCACCCCTCCCCCCAAGTGACCAAAGACGGCTTTCGGTAAACGGAATGCCATAGTCGTCAAGCAATCAATACTTTTCCAGATTGTTCACTACTTCAGTGACATTGAAAAAAAATTGTAAAACTTGTTTCCTGTGTGAAATACGCTTTTATTTAACATGCATCACATAATTATTGCATTAAAAAAGACCCCCCCCCCCCCCCCCTCCCCCTAGAAAATAAATAAATAAAAATTATCATTTATAATTTAGTGGGCACACGAGATTAACTAGCTCTTTTAAAAAAAAATCATTTAAAATGGTATGTATACTACGACTAATAAAATCGTAAGCAGCACTTGAAAGAGATATTGGCTTTTACTTGTGACAAGGCGAGTCGGGTTTATATATTGTGAGTTATGCCCACCACGCTTTCATCGTCGTGTAATAAAATTATAGATTAATTTTGTAAAATAAATAATTAATCTCGTGCGTGCAATAAATTGTATAATACATCATTTTTTGACTTTTTAATGTATTAATTTTGCGATGGATGTTAAATAACAAAATTACGATCACACATAGGAGAGGATGTATAGCTTATGCACGCACTGTCAGCATCCATAATTCCTGCTTCAAAGAACTGTCTTGACTGTACGTACACAGCAGGACACGCCAGATGATGGGAGATGAATGAGTCGACTGGCTGGCTGGGAAATTAAAGAGTCAACGGACTGACCCTGTATTAGTGGTTAGTGTAGCAAGAAGCATGGGCAGAGCAGACATACTAAATGTGCTGCCTTCTGGAGACGTTGTGACAAAGGAGTCAAGAGACGACGAACCGCCAGTTGGAAATGCGTATAAAAGAGAATAAGCGTGCAGATATGGGTACTTATTAAACAAAGATAATCGTGCACAATCTGGTTGCGGGGCGAAGAGAGAAGACATGCCAACACAATCCTACTGGGTACGTTGAACATGGAGACACTGAAGCTGGCTGCTGAATTAGAGGATAGAGCACGAATGTGTTAGGCCGTTGCGTTAAGGTGTCGATACCGACACGTAACTTATGGGTAAGCATCAAAGGGTTGTAATCAGTTCAATACACAACGTGGAAATTGTGTGTGCATGAAGTTTGGATGCTGTCAGTGCGTAAGTTGTTTTCTCCTACGTGTGATCTTGATGGAGTTTTTTAACAACGTATATATTTGTTTAAAGACCTGACTAATGTAACTCTTTAACTCTGTGTAAACCAGAAATCATTCAGACACTCTTATCATAGACAGATTGCCTTTGCGAGGTGCAAATGCTCCCTGCTATGTCAAGGAAGCCCAGTGAACTCACCTAACAGCCCGTGGGTTTTATTAGAGAAATCCCTGGAATCAGCAATGTAGATGCCAAGAAACGTCGTCTTGTTCCTTCTCTTCTCTATGTCTCCTTCTAGCATGTCGTCATCAACTTCACGGGCTTGGCGTTGTCTGTAGTGTCCTAGTAGTTTCGGCTGCTCTGTAGACTTCTCGGTGCCCTGGTAACCCGTGTCTGTCTCAATAGATTCGTGGTGATCTGTGTTATGATTCTGAGTCCATTTAGCTGGTTTGTTGTTTGGTAACGTGCCACTTTTGTCTTTTAGGTACAACTGGGTCAGTGCTGTAAGTTTGCTTTGTTTCTTATTACTGTCTGTTGGTGCCGTTCCACGTTTCTTGCGACCTTCCGTGTCAAGCTCAACGATCAGATTTCTAATGACGGCCCTGTCCTGGTTGATGCCGAAGAACTTTTGCAACAAAAGACTCCTCCGTCGTTTAGAGGACAAGAAGTGATTGATGACAGATTCATGTTCCTCATAGCCAATGACTGGTCTGGTGTCTGCCCGATTCTCAGCTCTGCTATCATCACTATCTCTCTCGCTGTCATCTTCATTCAGCGACGATGATCTGCCCGGGTTGTCTCTGTCCAGTGCATCATAATCGATGTAGTCATCTCTGGTTGCAAAATGTCGCTGGATGGCCAACGTGATGCGATGTTTGAAGGTGACGGCCACGATGTTCTCCCTGATCACCACTTTGTTACCATCAATGTTGAAGACCTTGACCTCTCCCCAATCATGGCGGGTGTTGTTCACTATAACAACGCGTTGTTTACCAAGCACGCGGAAGTTACCTCGTGCGATCATGACGGCTCCGATGTAGGTTTTGTTCGTCAGGCTGTCGTAAAAGAGGCGAGCGTTGACAACGATTCCTGAAAGTGAAAGTGTTTATCATCAATGTCTGCCAACAGCTTCAGATATTTTGCAATAAACATATTTATAGTAAATGTGTGTTTCAATGTGTGATATGCAATTACTAACGCTTAGATAATTGGCACACAAGTGTGCGCAGAAAGAAATGGTGTGAGATGTCTGTATGTGCGAATTATGCCAAATTTAATGTATGACGCAATGAAGCATCTGCTATGGAAAACTGAATAGACAGCCAAAACATTAAAACAAAAGAGACAGATAAATGAGGAAAAAATCAAGATCAAGATTGAATGAGCTTAATTTTTTTTAATCGCTAAATGACACTGTCTTTTTGCCAATAATATGCTATCAATACCAGGTCTCGACAATGACAGAAAACGAGAAAAAGAAATTACAAATTATATGAGATTCCTGCAAAGGACTCTATAATTCAACAAGAAGACATAACATCAGAAATTATTAAATTTAAAGAAAATTAAGGGTAGCGTGAAATGGTTTGGTCATATAATGCGGAAGCAAACAGACAGCAAGCAGTCACGTATTGACCAGGCAGGAAGCGAAGGAGAGTCTGACCATGCAAACGATGGACCGAGGTGATAACAGAGTTCCTGGAAATCCCAATTTACCAAGCGCCCAAACTTTCCGGTAAATTATACTTTCCCTCGACACCGCAGGGTAGGAGGACCAAAATGAGACTGAGATCAAAAATAAAATTTTACTGTTTACCCATAAAACAAAAAGGCTTTGTATTTTCTTCTTCCAATAGACGTGTATACTTGTCAGTGTAAATCTGGCATTTCTGTGCTACAATTTTCTGTAAGTGTTTTAACGGTTTCTACTGGTAAACATTGGCTGTTAGCTGAAATCTACTCCAGATATCACGACAACAGTGTCTTCATTTACCGTGACAGGTAAGAACCTCAGGTTGCTAGCACTCAGTTTGATTGTGAGCCATGTCTGTTATATTTTCTGGTCTCCAAATCTCTCCTCCATTTTTTATAAAGGCAAATCACGTGACTAGTATCAAGAGTTTAAAAAAAAAACATATAAATGGCTAAACTACTGTTCTCATTGGCAGACTACGTTGACAAATAAACACAAACTATACACTGCAAAAGGAAACAAATTGAGGGAAGAAACGATAAGCCAGAGAAACCATCGATGACAGTTGATGGGAGATGCCACTGATGCCGGACTGAATTCTTTTACACTTTTTGTGTGTGCCATGCCCCACCTAAGCCTTTCTAGAATTCGTATGCCTCCTTATGTAACTTAAACTATGGACGAGTTCATTTAAGAATTACCCAGTTTAAAAATCCGACTGTCCCCTCTAACAATCAAATCAAATTGCCCCCCCCCCTCCCCCCCCCCTCATCGAGGGGGCATGTGCGCCACGTTATGAAACAGTGCTCTCCACTAAGACAAGAGGATAAAGGTAATAGAATGTAATAGAGGCATCTACTGCGTGCCTTATGTGAAGTATAACTATCAGCAAAAGTGAATGATGATGATGACACAATCTGTAAAATTATTTAAAGAAAGAACAATACAAACGAAACAAATACATATAATAATAACAGCGTATCGCAAGTAAGAGACGGTCAATGTCCGAAAGACAAGCCCGCGAAACAGACGTTGAAAAAAAATGAAATAAATGTGTTGATAAAAAAACTATGAAAAGGTTAAAAAGCTCAAAACAGGAGCATAAGGACCGAAACAATAATTGTATAAAGAAAATACAAACGCGGTGAACTGAAAAAGACAAACATAGGAAAAAATGTGATGAAGATTTCAGCGTATTTATTGTGTGACAATGAGAAATGTTGATGTGATCACCCTGACCTCTCTGCGGGTCCTGCAGCAGTCTGACGACCTGGTTTGTTTGGCCTTCGGTGTTGAAACACAGCGGATTTTCCAGTCCGCGCACTCCAACCAGGAACTCTGGGTCGTTGTCTGTAATGGCATGTGGATGTGTTAGTTCCCACTCACCAGATATACATTTTTAGTATTCACGTTAATTATTTTAGGACAAAGTAACACACCATATCTTTACTGAATACTCAGTATATGGTGTATATATCTTAAACTGTGTTCAATTATCTTCAGTTGTTCTATAACGGTCGGCTCTGTGGCTAAGTCGATGCGAACGCTTCGTAATGCCAGGATGCTGGGTTCGATCCCAGCTGCCTTGCGTTGGTTTCGACAGTGGTATTAAGAAAGCCGACCGTCCAGGGGCATCGGCAAACTACTGGACGTAAATTTGCCTAGAAAGACCACACAACAGCCAGGGGCTGCTGGGATTGGTTCTGCAACGTCCTGTAAAGGATATGCCACTAACCTTCTATAACGATGATACATAATGTTGCAAATATAACTCCATATTCTATAGTTGTGTTAGTTAATCTCCCTAAGACTCAAGACTGTTATTCTAATGTACACACATTCTATAGTTGTGTTAGTTAATCTGCCTAAGACCCAAGACTGTTATCCTAATGTACACACATTCTATAGTTGTGTTAGTTAATCTCCCTAAGACCCAAGACTGTTATCCTAATGTACACACATTATATAGTTGTGTTAGTTAATCTCCCTCAGACCCAAGACTGTTATCCTAATGTACACACATTTTATAGTTGTGTTAGTTATTCTCCCTAAGACCCAAGACTGTTATCCTAATGTACACACATTCTATAGTTGTGTTAGGTAATCTCCCTAAGACCCAAGACTGTTATCCTAATGTACACACATTCTATAGTTGTGTTAGTTAATCTGCCTAAGACCCAAGACTGTTATCCTAATGTACACACATTTTATAGTTGTGTTAGTTAATCTCCCTTATACCCAAGACTGTTTTCCTAATATACACACATTCTATAGTTGTGTTAGTTAATCTCCCTAGGACCCAAGACTGTTATCCTAATGTACACACATTTTATAGTTGTGTTAGTTAATCTCCCTAAGACCCAAGACTGTTATCCTAATGTACACACATTTTATAGTTGTGTTAGTTAATCTCCCTAAGACCCAAGACTGTTATCCTAATGTACACACATTTTATAGTTGTGTTTGTTAATCTCCCTAAAACCCAAGACTGTTATTCTAATGAACACACATTCTATAGATATGTTAGTTAATCTCCCTCAGACCCAAGACTGTTATTCTAATGTACACACATTCTATAGTCGCCATCGGCCGTCGAATACACCCTGAGGGAAGTCTAATCTCACGTGCATGTGCTCCATTGCACGGTTCAGACCCCATTCCGATGAAACTTTCACATTATACGTGAGCGAAAATAGCTAATTTGCGCCATTCGCCTCAACGGACGAAAAAGCGTACCGCCATTGTGGCTGTTTACACCGGAAGTCCTTTGTCATTTGCTGATGACATTTTGATTTATCGACGAGGGCGTGATAGACGGGAGATCGCCAGCACTATGCACAAAGAACTCGATCGAATTGCCGCCTGGTGTGATGGTTCCAATGCCTATGTCTATCCTTCGAAGGCATCAGTGTCATGGTTCTCTTTGAACAATCACATTGTCAAGTCGGACTTACCAGAAATGAAAATGCGTGATAATGTATTGATCAGAACCAACGTTATGACGTTTCTCGGGGTGAGGTTCGATCGCAGCTTGTCATTCAGGGAACACGTTAACCATGTGATAACAAAAGCACGCAAAGGTCTATCTGCAATGAGGATTATGGCTGCTTCCAATATTGAGCAAAGACTACTAATACTTCTATTCTACGGTCTGGTCCTTTCCCCGATTGAATACGCTCTGGCCATCCTCACTGTCAGTGCTACCCAGACTGAACGACTCGAAAAGGTGCAAAATTAAGCCATGCGCATTATTTGGGGATGTACTAGAGACACATCCTGTGGAGCAATGAGGTATCTACTTGACTTTCCAACAATGAACCAAAGGATCAGGATGTGGAGGGCTCGGGCATATCTCAAAATATGCGCTGATAAGAAACACCCACTGCATCAAGCGCTTTTTAGTGAAAAGGGCGACAGACTGAAGAGGGGGAAATCGTGGCTAGGTCGGGCAGAAGATGTTATTAGGCAAATATGCAGCCTAACCGACATCATACCTGGTGCAGAAGGGATACCTGTGCCTCAGGCGTTTATTTGTACATTTTCCTGTATTGTCACACTTAAAAGGCGATGTAGAGAAGAGAATCCTGTTGCTGTTAATGCAGAGGTCAACGCTCTCATCGGTGAAAATTCAGACGAAGCAGATGCAATAATCTATACAGACGGATCCGTTATACGCCAAAGAAGAAGCGCATGGGCATTTACAGCACGCTCAGCGGGCAGAACAGTCAAAGAAGCCAACGGCGCCTTCTCCATGACAACCAGCAGCATGACGATGGAGGTGGTGGCAGTGACACAAGCGCTTGCCTGGCTTGAAACACAAAAATACACCCGCGTGTGTATACTCAGTGATTCAATGAGTATGATCCGGAGGGTTCAGGCAGGTCAGTACGAAGACAATGGCTTGAATCATTACAGAAGTCCACTGTTCGTAGAGTCACCTTTTATTTTTTGTTCCGGGACACGCAGGCGTCGATGGAAATGAAAGAGCTGACAGGTTGGCTGGATCCGCTATCACTACCGACGGTCAGCCTATGGATCATGCTGATATTATCAATGCCCTCAGAGAAATGGGAAGGATAGAGGACTTTGGTGGCAGTGAATCCACATCACTCGCCAGAATGGCAGACTTGGGAATTAAGATCGGCACAGCAAAAAACGAGACGCACACCAGCTACGCCAGAAGACTTGTTAATCAACATAGAACTGGTACTATTAGCCATCGGACGTTGGGGTTTATACTGAGGGGAGGATCTGAGCACCTATGGACATGTCCGGAGTGCAATGAGGATAACCCAACTAACTAACTAACTAACACATTCTATAGTTGTTTTAGTTAGTCACCCTAAGACCCAAGACTGTTGTTATTCTAATGTACACTCATTTTATAGTTGTGTTAGTTAATCACCCTAAGACCGAAGACTGTTGTTCTACTGTACACTCATTTTATAGTTGTGTAAGTTAATCACCCTAAGATCCAAGACTGTTATTCTTCTGTACACTCATTTTATGATGAAGCAAAATAAGTAAAGAACCATTTCCACGGCTTCACACGTATTGGGCATACAAGGCTAGACATACATTTTATAGACCAGTCGCAGCTCAGTGGATGATGTGGCTAGCATCACGCTGACCACCTTTACCTCCCAGGACTTTTCCTCTAACCCACCACCTGGGTCGACCTGTCAGCTCATGTCATTTTTGTAAAATGTCCGGCAGTCAGGACCTGAATTCTAGACTTTCGGAGCCGCTACACAACGGCTGCTCATACACTAGGAAAAAAAAACATTTCAGAAACCATGTGTGTGCTCTTTGGCTCTGTACTATGGATATCGCAACCCTTTGGCTTTGATTCCATGATAAATAACGTATATCTGGGAGAAATGTGGCTTTTTTACTACCCCCAGGCGTAACAACGAGTTTGTCACTCGGTCGCCGCGAAGTCCGGTTTAACCAACTACGCTAGCGAGCCGGGCGCTCCCACACTTTAGAATAGAAAGTATTAAAGATGCAACGCTCTGGGACTGATAGAGTTAATATTGTGGTCATTACACCCCCTCTCATGATGTGTCACTGTTTATCTTTAAGTTGGTATTATCGGTTAACTGTCTATAGTGTGTTGTCTGTCAACACATAATGTAGGAGCAGTCAGAGACCCTGTGACTAAATGCTTCACTATAATGTAGGAGCAGTCAGAGACCCGGTGACTCAATGCTTGACTATAATGTAGGAGCCGTGACAGACCCAGTGACTCAATGCTTGACTCTAATGTAGGAGCAGTCAGAGACCCAGTGACTCAATGCTTGACTCTAATGTAGGAGCAGTCAGAGACCCAGTGACTCAATGCTTGACTATAATGTAGGAGCAGTCAGAGACCCTGTGGCTCAATGCTTGACTATAATGTAGGAGCAGTCAGAGACCCTGTGGCTCAATGCTTGACTATAATGTAGGAGCAGTCAGAGACCCTGTGGCTCAATGCTTGACTATAATGTAGGAGCAGTCAGAGACCCTGTGGCTCAATGCTTGACTATAATGTAGGAGCAGTCAGAGACCCTGTGGCTCAATGCTTGACTATAATGTAGGAGCAGTCAGAGACCCAGTGACTCAATGCTTGACTATAATGTAGGAGCAGTCAGAGACCCTGTGGCTCAATGCTTGACTATAATGTAGGAGCCGTGACAGACCCAGTGACTCAATGCTTGACTATAATGTAGGAGCAGTCAGAGACCCAGTGACTCAATGCTTGACTATAATGTAGGAGCCGTGACAGACCCAGTGACTCAATGCTTGACTCTAATGTAGGAGACGTGACAGACCCAGTGACTCAATGCTTGACTATAATGTAGGAGCAGTGACAGATCCAGTGACTCAATGCTTGACTATAATGTAGGAGCCGTGACAGATCCAGTGACTCAATGCTTGACTATAATGTAGGAGCCGTGACAGATCCAGTGACTCAATGCTTGACTATAATGTAGGAGCCGTGACAGACCCAGTGACTCAATGCTTGACTATAATGAAGGAGCAGTGACAGACCCAGTGACTCAATGCTTGACTATAATGTAGGAGCCGTGACAGATCCAGTGACTCAATGCTTGACTCTAATGTAGGAGACGTGACAGACCCAGTGACTCAATGCTTGACTCTAATGTAGGAGACGTGACAGACCCAGTGACTCAATGCTTGACTATAATGTAGGAGCAGTCAGAGACCCTGTGGCGCAATGCTTGACTATAATATAGGAGCCGTGACAGACCCAGTGACTCAATGCTTGACTCTAATGTAGGAGCAGTGACAGACCAATGCTTGAACTATACTGTGAGCCGTGACAGATCTCAATGCTTGACTATAAT